CTATTACAGGTAGTATTGTGTAGTTCAAAATGCGAAACCTCGTGTTCACGGTCTTATTAAAATGAATGGAAATCACTCATTGTTTGCTCAATGAACAGAATCGTGTCATTAATGATGTCTAGCTTACACGGAATGTTTGACAAGACTTTTTAGTCGGGTATTGAGACCTCGAAACACAATGCTACAATCTCAAACGGTATGTAATATCTCAAACACTAATTTTCGTGTTATTTGGCCCTTTTTTAAAAAAAAGAAATGAACAGTTATTTTATTAAAGAATCTGGTAATAGTTGAAAATCGATACCTGGTTCTGATGTTGTAGTGATCAGAGTTGTTGGTTCATATTCAGTTGTATCAGCTAGTGTAGTCATTATTCGTGTACTGGTTTCTGCGTGAAGACCATACTGCCATTTTTATACAGTAAATAGTATTAGGTTATCGTTGTTCTAAGTAACTATTCTAAATAGCTAGAGATTTCGAGCAATCACACACACTATAATGTTTGCGTTTCGCACATTGTGAAATTCTTTTGTTTTTATGCAGGAAAATACAACAGTATTTTTACCAAGTAAAACCATATTTATTAAAGTCATTGTTTATACATAGTTGTTGAACACACTAAATAGTTTGTAATTTCATTCAGCTTCTTTCAGTCACAATTAAGACAAGATAATAGAAGACAGATAGAAGGCAAAACTATAGAGAATATAGCAAATTGTCTTTTTTCTGTAATATTCTTGTATAATCGTTAAATTATTTATGGGTTCATAGAAAATACATTTCGTTATGAATTATTCGTATTATATATTTCTCAATTATCTTGTCAAAATCAGTTTGTTTGTTTTTCAGGTTTGTCTCTCCCGAGAAAACGAAAGAATTTTACAATGCCGAAAACGGAAAGTCTTTATCGTTGTAATGCACAGTTTATATTGAAGATATTTGTTGGTATTGATTAAATACACGATAGTTTCTTTTAACAGGCTTACGTATTATTAACCTATAGCATTTATCTATTAACAATACCTGGTTTTGGGGTTGTAGTAAATAGTGTCGTTGCTTCATATTCGGTAGTAGCAGCCAGAGTAGTAGCAGAATGTGTGCTGATCACTGCGAAGAGAACATACTAACAATGCTTATTGTAAAACAGATTATTGGACATTGAATGTAATGTTTGATAATATTATTCATTCCACGATATCATCTCATAACTACGCATTAATTTGGTATACTATCTACCTAGTTTTGCTGTGAGAATATTCAGTGTTGATGGTTCCGACTCTGTTGTAGCAGCCAGTGTAGTCGTGATTCCTGTACTAGTGTCTGCAAAGTGAATAAACATACTATCTTTTCTTACGCTATATCATATTGTATAAACAAACATGTTGATTGTTCACATCTATTTCGCTATGATATTGTCTTATTTATTAACCAATATTATTTATAGACTACTCTTTACCTGGTTTAGGAGTGGTAGTAAAAGGTGTTGTTGGTTCAGATTCAGTGGTAGCAGACAATGTTGTCATAGTTTGTGTACTCGTGTCTGCAAGTAAACATGGTATAATGTCTTATTATATATTATATAATGTTGATATTATTTATTCTATGATATCATTTCATAACCGTCTTATTTATTAACCAATATTACATATAGATTACTAACTACCTGGTTTTGGTGTGGTAATAATTAGTGTTGTTGGTTCCGACTCTGTGGTAGCAGCCTGTGTAGTCATGGTCTGTGTACTGGTGTCTGCAAAATAAACAAACTAAAATTTAATATTGTATGACAGATTTTTTATCGAAAATATTGTTTGTTGATATTTTATAATCGTAATACATATTAATTAATACAATTTATAGAATACAAACTACCTTGTTTTGGTGTGGTAGCTATGATTGTTGTTGGCTTAGATTCAGTGGTAGCCGCCAGTGTAGTCACGATTCGTGTACTGGAGACTTAAATACAAAAAATGGCAATTAATATTAAATAGACGTAATTTTACTTTCGTAAATCTGTTGATGTACATGTAATTTGATAAAAGAGACAATTTATGTCCCAATATTACGATACATTAATTACTACCTAGTTCTGGCGTGATAGCACTGAGAGTTGTCGGTGGCGGTACAGACTCAGTTGTAGCAGGCATTGTGGTCACTAATCGTGTACTGATATCTAAAAGTAAAAAATACTAACTGGCAATCATTATGGTATGTTTGGCATATTATACATTACAGTTAATGTTTATATATATATATATATTTACATTGTTTTCGATATAATATTTTAAATTATTTATTAACGATAGTATTCACAAATTACTGAATACCACAATTGTGTGTGGTAGTAATGATCGTTGCTATGGCAACACATAGTATAGTTGTGTTTGATTAGTATTATACCTAATCCCCGATACCCTATCCTTCCCACACGTGGATGTTGACTGCCAATTACATATGAACAATGTCTAACTGATTCAAACCCGAGTAGCCAAATACATTTTATTTTTTTAATACGTGTTCATTATGTTCTTGAATTACAATTATTAAGTACTTGAATTAAAATTGTATTTTGTTTTGATGTGTATTAATACTCTGATTTCATCAACATACCCTTGACGTAAATGGTCGCCGAGATATCGTCTCGTTGTGATCACGAATCTCGTTAGGTATTGTCTTCCGTTATTGCGCCCAATGTTTTATTCACCACGGTTACACAGAGGACAAAAACCATGGACGCAGTGGCAAAAAACAATAAAACACTATTTCGCGAATAAGTTTTATTGCCGATCATCAGCACTGTTTTATTAGGACATAGAATATGAAAGAGATCTGTTGTAAACTAAACAATATCAATACGATTATACACTAAATGCGTTGGACAAAAAACAACAGACACAACCAAATTGGGTTGGGTTTACATTACTCAGATACCTTTTGTAGTGGGTAGACGTCCTGTTGTTGATAAGAGCGTGGTAGATACATGTTGGCTCCTGGTTTCTGTAGGGGAAAGTAAATAAAAAATGATATGTGGTAGATAGTTTTCTTAGGGTTGTGTAAAAAAAAGCTTCTAGTTAGTAATTAGTACAAACGACGCCCAGGACAAAACTTGTACTCGTGATTTCATTAGAAAAGCGCATTGGATTATGGGAAAATCATTGTTCATCAACACAAATTACGCACATGCGCGGCACGACGAATATCGCTCTTTAATCTAATCCTCTAATACCACTATAGTATGTCATAGAGTTAGCGTGGAAACAAAACTGATTTGAATGAACGAACAAGCAATCGTGTTTTTTTCCGTTCTGCATTGTATTTTAATTTATATTGTAAACAAGCTTAGTCAATATGTGGATCCACCAATGTCCTATCTTCATGTGAACCATCTTCACACTATAGCTCATATTAGGGAACTTCACACGTCGGTCGATACTCCCACGCTGTAGTGACTTCGTGCATATTTTGCAGTATCCTCGTAATAACCTCATATTATTTCCCGTTATCACTGTTCCAATTCCACGTCGAATTATAGTCGTTTTTCAATGAAACGTCACCATATTTTTAGTAATTATCTCTCGAATCACACAACTGATTTTACAAACCACACTGGAAAACATAGTATCAAAAATTATGTGGCCTGTACATCGTTATATAATCTCTATAGACCCGCGTTTATATCGAACGTTATTTCGAGACGTCATCGTTGGAGTGGTAGGCGTTGTAGAAATGTACGCGCGCGTCTGCTCACTGTGGCGAGACGCTTTCAGAGATTGCTACTTTGAAATCTCATGCGCTGCTTGTATATATACTCGTGATATTGCATATAACTACATCAACATAGTCTACATTTACAGCATACACATCTCATAGAAATAACTACGTACCCGTGGATATAGTCGTCGTTAACTCCGTCGTCTGTTTGGCAGTTGGTGTTGATACATGCGGCGAAGTTATGTCTGTAAAAGTAAATAATCTTTTTAAAAGCAACATATTTTTCCGATCAACACATACATTTTATGTATACCTACATATTTGTTCGCAAATTTGCTTAGTTACAATCCATAGTCTTAAGGTTCTAAGAAAATGTTGGGAGTGGTTCGAAAAGCCAGTAACAAAAATAAAACGGTAAACATAGCAGAAATTATGAACTCACCATTCAATGATGTAGTATTGAAAAGTGTTGTCAATTCAGTCTGAGTAACCGAAAAAGATATATTTGGAAGTAAAGTAGTCATGTCTAGAGAAAAAAATAAACATTTAATAACCATCAACATTTGACGTTGAATGTATATTTCAGTCCGTACCTTTAAATAGCGCCTTGAGCGACGAAGCCTCTTCAAAGCAAATTAATCGTTTTGATCTGCAGTCGTTCATCATTAACGAGTATATTTAATATATGTTAAACGACTACACATATACCTACAGTGACTTCCAGTGGCCGACGTCACTGAATTCCTTCGACCACTAGAGGGCGAAATTTAAGGACATTATTCTATGTAGTTACATTTTGTTTAATTTAATTTAATCAACATTGCTTGTATAAGAGGACGTAAAAGAGCTTTCATTGTAGCTTTAGGTCATTAACATCTAAAAGAAATGAATTGATATATTTAAATATTAATATCACTAATTAAGTATAAAATAATACTATTCACCATTTTTTTGCATTATTAATAAATGACCGTATTTTTACTCGTCCCAACAGTCGATATACTTTTTATTTACTGTCAACTATATCAACATTAAAGACGTTTTTCATTTCACATTCAAACAGTTTCTTGTTGTTGTTTTTTTTTTCTAACTTGTGATACCAATGATCTAGTGTGGAATGAGGTGTCGCCTTTGAAACGCTATTTCCTGCATTTTGATCGAGGGGCCAATTTTGCTGACACAGAAGTTTTCGACTTGGAGGGGTGACGCCCCTACCACTTTTTTTAGCGAGGGGCGCCGTCACACATATACGCACGAATCTCGTTAAACGTTGATAAACTATTTAGATTATTCCGATACCACATATTTCCTGATTCCCTTACATTGGGAGAGTACTGCGTTATGCGTAGAATCAGTCGTATAGGCAGGGAAACCAAGTATCGCAATGGCGTAAACACATGAACAGTAAATAATAAGAGTATCTCAAAGCTATACTTCCCTTTGTGAATCGGATTTTCGTCTCCGAACTGTAAAAAACTAATTCAAGTTTTTAATCAAATCATTTTATTTTCGTGGCAAACCGACGATTTGTCCACGCTCATAAGACAATTTCTGCTTATAACTTTCCCTGGAGTGATTCGGAACACGACACGATCTAAATCCTAATATCCTAATATGAACATTATTTTGTGTTTAGTGGGAGTTCGGAGAGGAAACAGCCATCAACCTTTTACAAGGAAAATGTGAAATCTCGTCGGATTTGTTACGTTCTTACATGTAATATTAGATTTTGAGGACTGCTGAGTCTAATAAAGTACACCAAATGAACCGAAATGCATGCGTTAAAGATACACCTAAGCAGAAATTGGTTTGCCAGTACTTGAGCTATTTTAACCGACTTGATATTAGCTGTTTAGCACTTGAGCTAACTTATAAACCAATTTGCATATCCACGCAATACGCGAGATTTTGAAGTGGGTGGATATCACCTATTATGTACCCAGGCAGTAGCTACGCATCCGTCTCTTGCAATATATGTGATGATTATTCTGATGGTCAATCAAAATGTGGCGAACTAACAAAGCAGGCTGCTATGAACACGCATTTGTACTTTATACTTGAACATCAAGTCCATAGATCACTTAGAGGTGACACAATTCGCTATTGCTATTATAATGTCAACGGATGTTTTCATGATTGGTTTAAATTCAGTGTTACTCATCACCACGTAATTTAATTTCCTATTGCAACGTTAGAGGGCGGCGTTTACGTTAGTGTCTTCTAGAGTGTATCGCAGTATTTGCTTAGAAGTGGATACACAGTTAGAGTTGGAGCCCCTGATGGCGTCGGTCGTTGCCCAGCTTGTAAACCATACAGACATCGCCGTTTTTTCATAGGTAATTATGGCGTTGAGATAGAACAATCATGTTTTGAGTAGATATTGGAAGAACCATTTCATAATTTCAACTCTAGAGGGAAACTTAAGAGGGCGGCGTTTATGGCAGATTCAGTATGTATCGTCGTATTTGCTTAGAAGTGGATACACAGTTAAAGTTAGAGCCGCTGATGACTTCGGTCATTGCATGTAAATCTGTCGATAATTGCCGTTTTTTCATATGAAAGTATGGGGTTGAGAAAGAACTATCATGTTTTGTGTAGTTATTGGCGTGAACGAGCTGTCTTCAAGAAGGTACCTAGTAATGATAATGATGAACCAATTATAATCCCGTGAAACCGGGTTGACAAACATTTATTGTTACGATAATATCATAAAAATGAGTGCGCTACTAATTCGCTCACTGTGCATGCATAACCTACTTGTAATGGTTTCATTAGTTCCAGTGTTTCTGGTGAGTAGTATAGCCGTGACTGTGGTGACAACAGCTACAACACCTAGCACGGTGACAGCGGCGATGGCAGTGGTAGTTCCGACAGTGGCTGCGGTAGTAGCAGTAACAGCGGTTGTGGCTGTGCTGCCAGCAGTTCCGGAGGTGCTTGTGCCGGTGGCTGCGGTGGATGAGTTGTTACAGCAACGCTAGATTGAATAAAGTGTGACTAATATCTATCATAGTTACTTATAGTTATCCTTCCACACTCACCATGTTAAAATTCCCGACTTATTTTACTGACTCTATAGTTTTCTTTTCATGTCGTTCACCCTTGTAACATGAATTATAAAAATAAATTACATTATTCTTTACTTTTTAATGTTTTGAATAGCATTTAAACTCAATCGAAACACTTACTAATTTCTTCAATTGCTTAATACAATCCCACCTGAAAGAAAAAGACACAAATCAACTTTAGTATTTGTCGATAAAAATGGAAAAAATACGTTTTATTTTGTAGTATGCATTTAAATACTTGGTTATGGTTGTATACACTATTGCGATAGACTGCATTATATGTAAAATGAAGTTTAGAAAGGCATTATGACAACACGAAATATAACACTATAATTCATGATAACACATGGGGATCGTCACTTGCGCATGAGTCAGACGGCCATAGCGCGTCGCTGTTTACAAACAAGCATCCAACCACCCACAAGTCTTTCTTCTTTTAGCATGTGCTGCTATTGTGGCGTTGTACTTCATTCCGACGCGTGCGCAGATGACGAACCCTCGCCGCTTTAAGTTCACAATAAAATAGCAATCATGGTAGATATAAGTATACGTACGCGTCATCTGCATTGTCCTGTACGATGTCAATTACATTATCGGCACCTCCCGGCTCGTCTGACATATTGGCGTGATTAGGAAAATGTACAACACACGGGTACACTTGTCTGATTATAGCTTTACCTCTAGTACTCTGTTTTGAAATACACAATAGTACAATGAAATATATTTTGCACAAGTATCGCATTATTTATGATATATTATGATATTATTGTGAGAAATATGCAGCGGGAGTATTTATTGACAAGTAGCAGACGTCGGTGCGTCCACGTACTGTATGAGTTCATATTTTATGGTATTGACGTGGTAAATGTCTTCCCAATCCAAGCATTTAGATTTTGAAAGTCAGAAAGACGTTGGACATTATAGGAAATTTCAAACATGTCCACCATCTTAGAAATATTGCATGTTCTTTTCATATTTTTGGAATTCGCAATTCCTAATAAGGAAAAATGCAGATACTATCACTGAATAACTGCAATAAAACATTTGAAAATATGCATTTTTTGCTTGAATGAAGCAAGAGGAATACATTTAATGAGCCAAATAGAAAACGATTATCTCAAATATTTGTATTAAGATCATTTAGGCAAAAAATAAAATGTATTAACTTCTCACCTGACACAAGCAGAACACTTGTGGAGTGAATGCAGGTCAAAACATGAGGTCATATCATGTAAAACAATGTTATTTTAAACAACGAATTTTACATTTCGCACATCAAATTGCCATTATTACATGGTGGACACAAGATTGTAGTCTATGTGTGTACAAATATATGACATTTTATAATAAAAAACCATATATCAGTTTTGCTAATGTCATAAACTGAAATACTGTCCCATCAAATTATAATTGAATAAAGTAATTAAAACCAAAAAAATGCAAATTTGTACCACGAACAAATGAGAAAATTTCCATAATTTGAGCGTTCTTTTCATAGACATAATCATATGCTCGATGATACACACACACCTAAATGACCACGGTCTGTTTTATATCAGTTTTGCTGATGTCATAAACTGAAAAACAATCCCATCAAATTATAATTGAATAAAGCCGAAACAATGAAAGTTTGTACCACGAACAAATGAGAACATTTCTGTAATCTGAGCGTTTTTTTCATAGACATAATCATATGCTCCATGATACACACACACCTAAATGACCA